TGTTAGGGTAGACATAGAACCACATATTATGTCTATTATAGGGGCGTGGTTCTCGCAATAAAACTCGCAAGCATTTTATTAACTTTAAACTCATAATATTCATGTTTACGTAATAATTAGTCTTTAATACAAGTTCATAGTACAATGTTTGTTTTTGTTTGAGAACTTGTATCTTTTGAAATTAACTAGGCAGTCAATGGTCCTTTGTGTAAGATTTGAACCAGCGACCTATGGATCGCCATCTACTGGCATTTCAGAGTAGACCATTATATTCAGAGATTTACAATTAGGTTATGTTATTGCAACAACAACGTATGTAGCGTTAGTGTAACGTGTAAATAGATAACATAACGCCAAACTAACTATTAAACAGTCTAATTTTATTACCGTAACAAAATAATTCAGCGAAACAAAGTAACTCAAACTTAATATATTACTATCTGATCTTAGCTTAACTGGAGAAGGATCATAAAATAATAAGTCGCCAAATGCAGGCGAGTCAAGAGACGTAACTGTCACAATTGGGAACAGACTGGTCTTCGAATAGCGCGACATAGCGTCTAAAATAGAATGTTCTAGTGTCAAAGCGCCCTCCATCTACGTGGCCAGCAAGGTCTTATCTTTACGATTTTCCAACAATATTTATATTAAAGATTTTGGTGTATTTGAAACAGGTAATTGGGCCGATCGACCTATCAGTAAGTAAATTACATACTTTCTCACTGACTTATATAAAAAAAGTTTCCATTAAAATTATCTGAACGGAAGCAAAACGAGCAGTCTTTTTAGCATTTATTGCACAGACATAAAGCTTTTCCTAACCGGCTCAAACCGATTCTGCGTTAATTAGTGTGTTGACTCCCTTACACATTATCATTACTAGTTAAAGTGATGTTAATAACCCCATTAGAGCTTTAAGGTCAGCGTAAATCGGCGGACAGGAAGTAAGAGGACATTAAATTTATCATTTTATATCTATTTCCATCGAAATAAAGTATAAATTTCAACGCTCTGAGACCGAACTCGGAGTAACGCAACGCATTCCTGCGGCAACAGATGTCGGTATGCGACGGAATCCATCGATATGCGACGGAATCCATCGGTATGCGCTGAAATCCACCGGTGGGCGCCGTAGTCTGCTCGCATGTACTGGGGACTTTCGATTGCATGCAAGTAGAACATAATCAGACCGGTGGCATGTCGGCGGATGCCACACGCCAGAGGGTTCTACGGAATGCTAGCGGACGATCGCGGTGTCGTAATGCGTATTCCTCATCAGTATGCGTCAGCGGACATACTCTTCCACGCTCTTATCCGCCGTTCGGAGGTTTGCGCTAGTCCTAAGGATGAATTTACATTGCCATGTAAGCGAATTTTTGTAACGAATTCTCGAGACGCCGCGAGAATTCTCTAGAAGACTTTTTGTACCTTCAACATCTACGTATACATAACTAGTGTCTGTTTTTAACCGACTTTAAAAGATTTTGATGCATTTTTTTAGCGTGTACGTTACACGATTACGCTCTCATTTGTGAACCGATTTCGATTATTCTTTTTTTGTTGGAAATGGGGTCCCGTTCAAATTTGAAAAAATATTCCACCTTTAAGGTTGGCAAATTAGGTGATCAATCCGGTTTATTGGACTTTACCCACTTTCAATAAAAAACGATTTCAATAAAACTTGGCAAATAGACGTAACTCCAGTAACTTTTGAGGGCAATGTAATTTTATAAAAAAGTTGTCAAATTTATCGTTAAATTAAAAGCGACACCGGATTAGAGATTTCCTTCTTTCTTTTAGTGACTTTTTTAATGATTTTAGATAAGTGTAAAATTGTCTACATGTTTTATCCATGAATAATAATGCTCTTATTGATATTAACAAAACAATTAGCTGGACGGACCTGTAAAAGACTATGTAAGTAAAATTTAATAGAACGTAGACAAGTAAGACTAATAGAATAGCATCACGGTGATAGCCCAGTGGCAGATGATTCTCCTTGACCAGAACGCGATTCCAGGATCACTAGTCTGCTAATTTTCTTGAAATCACTGATCATTCCATTGAAGACTCCATAGATATTGCATGACAATATTTGTTATTCTGCTAAAATCTAGTTGCAATAGCAGTCGAGTCTCAGTAGTGTATCTGAAGAACTACTTGTGACAGAGTTCGTCCAGGGAACTACTTCTGCCGCCAAGCAGTAATGTCAGCATTACCGGTTTTGAAGAGTAAGGTGAAATTACAGGCACATGGGACTTGTCAACTTATGTCTCAGATCTTTGCGATTTAAAGCTCTAAGTGACACTGCAACTGTTATGGACAGACGTGTAGCTTACTATCAGGAGCACAACTTATTCTTTCTGTCACTTGATATTATAAGACAAAGATGCTGTGTGAAAAAAAACTGTGAAATGGCAGTGACGACATTCATTCATTTCTTTTTTCATTTACTAAAACTATTATGGTAATTACTATTATACAACCCATTGCTTCTTCACACGTTTTCCGAAGGTCGAGAGCCATTTTCGACGTGCAGGTTTCTTCATAATATGATCTACTTTTAGTTATGTAACCTAAAAATGGATTCAGTAACCTCCAGGGCTGTAACGTATAAGTGTCATGTCCGTGTGTCACATAAGTACTTTCCGAAACTCTTAGTGTAGTGTATTAGCTCTAAATGTACTTGGTTAACCGTTTATATGTGTAACTAGTAAAAACTAAAAATCTTATATCGTAAACTCGAAATGTAACTTCGGGAAATTAAAAATCATAGTTCTTAGTAATGTAACTACTCTTACCATATATCTTAACGTAAATGAAGCATCTGGTTATTTCCATTTGAAACTTGTTTTAGTTGTGTGTAATGGTGCCCTTCTTTCTCCTTGATTATCCCCTTCGGACCGGCTCCAAAACTACAATGAATTTATTACATCCGAATATGTACTATAGGTAATTCGAGGTCGCAGGTTGCTTTTTCCGACGCCATCTTGGAAAAACTAGATACCAACAATTGTATTATTCTGGGACCTTCATTTCCTAAGTACAATTTTGTCGGGAAGCTCTACAGCTACTAAAACGAACTATGGAGATTGAAGAACGATAATAATCAAATCGGGTCATATCTATTTGAAAGTACGTTTATTGCCCCACTGCCCACTATAAGAATGAAACAAAAAATTTCATAGATAGTTGTTGATTTTGTAATTCGAGTTCAAGAAACCTTGATTAAAATGTCAACTTTTGAAATAACCTCGAAAATCTCGATTTTCTCGGTATTTTTGAGACCGCCACGAGTCTCAATTTATTATTCCGGTATACGGAAATTGAACGAAAGTGAAAGCCGTACAATCAACTGAATTATCCTCTGAATTGTCTGTTCATATGCCCTTGTTTTTTTGTGGCACAAACTTTAGCTGCTACCAAACGACACTTCGGTAAGTCATTTTCTTTCTTTTATTAAACATTCTCGTTTTGCATCATCATACCATAGTATAATAAGACAAGGTCACTACCTTGTCTTATTATACCGATCAATAGAAATTCCACTGAATTTCTATTGATCGGCGTATCAATTCCTATATATGTCATTGTAGGGTTGTTACTTAATTACTGATAATACTGACATCATATTATTCGCCTTAGAGTGAAAAGCACTAAGTCACTGTGGCCAATCTATGTTCTCTGACGACTCTTTCTGGATGGTTGACGGATTAGTAGATTTGACTTTGTGCCCTACGACAACTATATACACGATTTAACAAGATTTGACGTGAACATGCAAGCTTCTCTGTGTTGGTTGATCTGTACTTTACACACTCGTAGTGCAACGGCACAATAAAAAGTATGTCTGAGAGATACTTCTATCTCGCTTGCATATGCTATTCACATTTAGGGTAAAAAGGACAGCTGGTGTTTGTTTTTGTTATCATACTTATAAACTTCTGAAAGTGAATAATTTCTTTAGAATATCTTGCAACATATTTAGGAGCGCCATCTGTGATCATAATATTAAACTATGTAGTTGAAAGCTGACAAAAAATACCGTGTTGGAACGACCTAAAGTATGTAGGTACGTGAAGTAGTACGTACCCATACATTTTTCATATTTTTAACTTTTCGACAGTTTTAGTGGTAGTTTGTTCGTCCGCATTTGTATGTCCATCACCGAATGGTTAAACTGATTTAAACACGATTTTCTATTTGGAAAGTCAGAGGTGATTTGTAGCCAAAACACTGTCGTGAAGTTTTGTTTTATATTGTTTATGGTATTACAACTTCTGCGTATTTGGATGACAAAAATCCGTGATGGTGACTCTTGCAGGTATTTTCGATATGATGTTTGAAACAAATGATATTGTAAATGATAAATTTATAATGAGCAATGAGCAAGAGACGCGCGTTCAAAACACGCCGTGTGCATAGGCTCTTATAATTATATAGAAACTTTATTGTGAAACTTACTACTCTACAATATTGTATAGCCTTATGTTTATTCTATTCTTTCATATTTGTCTTCTGTTTAATATTATGCTTGTGTTAATTAGCTAAATGGGCATATAGTTCCTCCATTCAAACTGGTAAGTAACTGAAGTGATGTTTGAAATACAATTATATGAAACGAAGATACTTGTGACCGTAATTAAATGTAGGGATGTTGAATAGCAGGGAGGTAATGAATGAACTAACTCTTTGCATACTGAAACACATGCACATACTATAAACAAACAAAAAACAAACACACATACACACAAAACTTACAATTACAAGTAGCCTACTAACAATTTAATATTAAATTTAAAATCTTACATTTACAAATTTTGTTTGTTATCTTAAATGCGAGTTTTATCTTGTTAAATAGCACTTACAGTAGAAGTTATGGTATTATATGCGGAGGTGGAAGCCTGGAGATCTGTCACACAGGTTAACACTTAGTATGGACACCAGTCTCTTACTAAGGTTTTTCTTTTCTTAGTAAAAATTCAAGTTAGCTATTTATAAGTTCATGTAAGGACCTTGAATAGAGACAATAGTAGTTATTTGTTATGCAAGGCTGCAAATTTGTTGTTTGACGCGAGTGTTTGTATTGAAATTAACTATGAAGGAAACTAGGGGTCGTATTCTAGAACTCTGCTCAATACTCAAGTCAGGACTTGAGTATTGCAGTGAGCACTGAAAATCATACTCAAGTCTGTTCAAATCCTGACTTAAGCATTGAGTATAGTTCTGGAATACGACCCTAAGATTGAACCACGAGGGAAGTGAGTAGTTCCGTAATAGAATCCTGAGTGTAGCCAGGGTTTCAAGACACGAGATGCAAAACAGCTTTGCTACCGAGCGAAACACACAAATTTTCACCACACTATAGCGAGAAAAATGGTAGATGAAAGAAAAACATTAGTTCTTCGACGAAGTAAAATAATTTAATAAAGAAAATTAGTTGTCGTTGCCAATTTAATGTCAACAATAATAAGAATAAAATACACCAACGGATTTATATTACATAAATAATGTACGAAAAATCGCGTAGTTTAGTCATTGTTTTTTTTTTCATGGAAAGAAAAAGTTAGGTGCACCACAATCCATCGTCAAGTTGGAATTTCAAAAATCTATTCCACGCTAGAGTGAAAAAACCGCTTTTGCGCTCAATTTTCTAATGAGAAAGAAAGTCGTTCCAAGCTGGTGAGGTGAAAAGATTATTATAAAAATTATTGAAATAAGTAGCTTAATAGCGTTGTTTTTTAAGTTCGTTTTACAAAAGCAATTTTTTTTCCTCTATACCCCCTTGGTATAATACAACCACATCTGTAGTGACAATTTTTCAGGAGAGAGTTTCAAAAATTCTAAGAACGAAATTGGTGAATTACTTTTTCATGATTAAATAGATGAGTTATACAATGTCACATTTAGTTAATTTTTTTCTTGTAATTCGGATTACATTTATGATTTTCATGTGGTAAAATCACTTTTTATGTACGATCACGATATGTGGCTGGTTGCGCCGAAATGGTATTTTGATTTTGCCTTGCGAATTGTGAACCCTTTATATTTTGAATCATTTGATTGGATCAATTACTGCTTTCTTGTTCCATCCCTTTCCCACATATACCTTACACGCACACAAGAACGGGACGACGTCGCCCAATTGGTGACACTTAGCGGACAAAGAAGGAACTCTCGCTCCCGTTAATTTATTGTGAAAAATCATAGTGAAACCATTCTAAACTGAAAACTATAGTGAATAATACTGAACGTACGTTTTGGTGAACTTGTAACATCTAGAATCGCGCCCTGGGTGAAGCAAGGTGCCGGAATCGGTCAATGCCTCTGTGGCCGACCGGCTACCATGCCGGGCTGCCACGCAGAGGTCCCAGGTTCGATCGAGAAATATTTGTATGGCCTACATTTATTTATCTCGTACATTTGGGTGTAATTTGTGTATGTGTCCATGGCACACGCGACACACGGTTTCCCTAGTGCGGGGCTATGTTGAGTGTGTGCGCTATTTATTTTAAAAAAATTGCACCGGCAGAGTGGTCACGAGGTTGGTTTCCAAAGGTATTGTGCTCCCCCCTTGCCTAGTGTTATTTGTTCCAATCAACCATACTTAGTTATTCATATACAGTCCACAAATAGAAGGAAGGTATCATTTGCATTTCCCACATGGTTGGCCGGTTTGGGTTATCCGTAACTAATTCACGCTACCAGTGGCTTTATTATACTAAAGGTGCATTATCAAATGATAACAAGATATTTTAAGTAGTTCCAAATAGTTTTTTGGTTGAGATTTTTTGCTTTTAAGCATTTAATTTGATTAAAACAAATTCCACTCATTTACTTGTAACTTGGTGTCCGTAACTTCGTCTGAGTAGAATAAGTCTTCAAGTAACCTATTGTACCATACTAATTTTCATAGTTTTATATGTTCTCTATACAAATTGTTATCCCCTACTTCATTCCCTTTAAGATATATTTTTGTGTCAAAAAGTAGCCTATGTCGTCCCAACTATATCTATATCAAAATTAGTCAATTTTTTTTTGTATATTATATCAAGTGACGAGAAGAACAAGTCGTTCGCCTGATAGTAAGCTACACGCCTGTCCATAACGGTTGCAGTGCCACTTAGAGCTTTAAATCGCAAAGATCTGAGGGGCACTGCCACTGCGCCCGTCATCTTGAGACATAAGTTGACAAGACATAGATATAGACATTCTTTATTGGTAAACTTAACATTTACAAGTCCTACAAAATTATAAATTATATTCGTATTATTTTCTTATATTACTATTACTTAACCAATGTGATAAGTTATATATTTATTGTTTGACAAGCCAGTGCTTTAATTTACGTCTAAATAAGTGATCCGAAGCGGAACCAACAATTTCAAGAGGCATCCGTTTACATACTGTCGGGCCCAATAAATGTATTAATTTACCCGTTTTGGACAAAATATTCTGCACATGTACAACCCTGTGTTTATTACGTAGTTCATGGTTATATCCTTCCCCTCGTCTAGTGTAAGTTTCCAGGTGTTCTCTAGTGTAGACAGCCGCTTGGAAAGCCACGAGAGCAGGCAAGGTGAGTATACCGTACTGCTCGAAGTAAGGCATAGCTGATCTATGCTGTGGCACACGCGCAATTGCCCTTACACCTCGCTTCTGCAGCCGCGCATCCCCAGAACTCGACACCATATTGTAAGAGCGAGTGCACGGTGGCGAAGTAACGTGACCTAACTATGTCCCATGGCAGAATCCACGATAGGCGCTGCAGAGCAAAGCATGCGCGGCCGGGTTTACCACACAGCACATCAACATGATAGTTCCAGGTCATAGTTTGATCCGGATGAAACCCTAAAAAGTTACTATTGGAGACTTGCTCTATTGGGGTTTGTTCTACCATAACGTTTAAGTCCCATGTGCCTGTAATTTCACCAGCACCCTTACCCTTCAAAACCGGGACACAGTAATGCTGACATTACTGCTTGGCGGCAGAAATAGGTAAGGTGGCAGTACTTTCCTGGACGAACTCTTACACAAGGACCTCTACTGCTACTACAGGCTTGAAAACTTAACAGACAGAGTTACTTTCGCATTTAAATATTATTATTATAATTATGTTTATTAAATGTCAGGATATTTCACGACCATGATATTCAATTGTTTTTTGTGATATTACTCCACTAGTTTGTTATAATTATTAATACTAAGATCTAAAACTTAGAAAAAATTCGTTCGATCCATTCTTAGTCTTATAGCAAACCGTATACCAAAGTAATTGTTAATTTTATCTATAACAGTATTGTAAGAGGTATACTATTGGAGTGTAATTTAGTAAACACCACGATAGTGGGTTCTATTTTGATCCCAACGCCATCTAGCGGCAAGACGAGGTTACTAATATTTCTTGCGCGTGGTGTTAATTTGTAACTTTACTTACTTGAATTGGAACACCGCATTACACTAGTTATCCGGATTTGAGCGTTATTAGCTGCGACACAGTCTTAATGACTACTGTACTAATTACCAAACATCTTATCATGTATCTTGTTATTGTTACAAATACGCACTTTTTTTAAGCGACAGAACGAACCAACGTACCTTACGAATTATTCTATGTGTTTGTTGAAGATCTTTGATTTGGTTATTTAACGAGTTTTTTGCCTTAGCGCCATCTGTGAGAAATCAAGTCCACGTAGCACAATCTGTGAGAAATCAAGTCCACGTAGCGCAATCTGTGAGAAATCAAGTGCCCGTAGCGCCATCCGCGAAAAATCTAGAAATCTAGTGCACGTAGCGCAATCAGTGGCAATCAAGCTCATCTATATTATTGGTATAGATGACCTTGGTTGGTTTGTCGGCCATTGCGGCCCTGTAGAGGAGTAACTGGCAACATAAGCATGTTCTAAAATTTTTTAAATTCAATTGTATTCTAAATTCATATTGGTCTTTCTGTTTTTTGGTTACTCATGGTGCCCCAAAGTTATCATACATGTAATTTCTGATGTATACATTTGAAAGAAAAAAAAAATTATTATCTTTTTTACAGACACAATCTGAGGATTGGAATCCTAATAATTATACGTGTGGTGCATTGTATCATTTAGTACGTATCACATAGTCAATTTTTTTTCTTGTAATTAAGGTTAATTTAGATATTTTAAATACATAACAGATAGCAGACACTTTGAGAGTAATTGAAATTAATTCAGATATATCAAATGCCAAACTATATTGAGTTGACCAAAAAGTCCCTGCGGTATCAAAGTGAAAAACATGTAAAAAATAAATATCAGGCTTTGATCTACAATCTTTTGCCAGTATGTTGGGTAATAATTTCAGTACAGAGTACTGAAACAACCGAGCTCAAAAGTCATTCACCCCCCTAGTTTGCCACTCTTAGAAGTGGAACCATGGAACTGAGGTAACCTCTTTCCAACAAAAAAATAATCATCAAAATCGGTTCACTTACCGGAGTGACCGTGTAACATACATACAAAAAAACCGAATTGAGAACATCCTCCTTTATTTGTGGTCGGTTGAAAAATCGAGGATCGGTGGCTAAGGCACATACCTAAGTCAAACAACGACATCAAATTAATACACCTACCGACTAAAGCACATAAGTCCTTCTTGCACATTGTTGCCCGCTTATGATCTTTGTTCTCACTGCCATGGGTTGCCAAAATCTCTTTGCACACCCTTTCTTTAATTAATCTTTCTAAAGAATTTTTTTGACGCAAGATATAAGTCAATTTTTTTTGTTATTTCATTTGAGCTCACTACGTCCGAAGTATCAGTTCCGAATCCGAGAAATGACAGTCCGAAATGTCACAGGTGTCCGAAGTATCATTGTATCGTATTCGTATTTTCTATGAATATGAATTTGTAACTTAAATTTTAATGACGTATTTTTCAAATTTACCATTTTCTTCACATCTTCCAACATTACAAACAACACAAAAAAAATTTAAGAATTATTTAAAATTGAAGCACTTTTTGACCTATATGCTTTAGTCCGCCGACCCTAGAAATATCCTGTCTGAACCCATAAAACACAGCTCTAGGTGTTGTTTGATATTCTCTCCAATATCAAAGTCGTGTTCATTCAAAGAATTTTGTAAAGAAGTTCTATGGGGTGAAGCATGAAGGTAAATCTATGCAGGATGTCCAAGGCTATGCGACAAGGAGAGAAAGTATTTTAAATATATTGGATAGAACATTTTGCTGCATGGAGATATTATTTTATTTCTAAACAGTTGCTTGCCTCATCTGGGAATCAAACCGACCAAATATGAAAAATAAAATCCAGTATTTTTATGATGTCGATCGTTCTAAAGGATCGTTCAATTAAGACTAATTCTTTTTAATACAATACAATACAAATATTCTTTATTGCACAACAACACAAATAAAGTAAACATTACAGGTACAACCGGCGGCCTTATTGCTAAATAACAATCTCTTCCAGGCAACCTTCGGGTTACAGGAAAAACAGTAAGATGAAATTATATGAGGGCGCAACAAAATACACATATTGCACATATGTATACAAATGAAGAAGAAAATGATAATAATAAAAAATAATATTATTATACAAAATAATAATATTAACTGCCTCTGTGGCCGAACGGTTACCATGCCGGACTGCCACGCAGAGGTCCCAGGTTCGATTCCCGGGCCGGGAGAAATATTTGTATGAAACATTTGTTTCTCTCGTGAGTTTGGGTGTAAATTGTGCTTGTCTATATGTGTGTCCATGGCACCTGCGACAGTTTTAAGTTATTAAGTGATGGGACATTTAAAGTACTTACCTCTGTTTTACATAGCCGTAGGACACTTGTATGTTTGTTACAGAATCCATTTTTATGCTGCGTCATGGGCGACACGAAGTACGTGAATGTCCAAAACTTTCAGAATCACACAAATTGTTTTAGGAAAAACTGGGATTTATTCAATGTGAGTAAAATTACACTTTTTGTATTCAAAGTGGTAGAAAGTTGCAAAAGTATTCACTCTAGCTTTGAAAAGGCCCAAATCTTATTTTTCGGGAAATACAGGTTGTATACAGGTAGCGTATTTCATTCCCTTGATGTACGCGTTAAATGTATGTTATAGCAAGCAAGTTAGTCTCCTGGAGCATGATGAACATCGCGGCCATTTTGCTGTCTTCAACCGTGGCATTTACGGTCTCCCCGCGTCTGGTAACTGGCGCATGACGCGTCCGCGGCATTTTTCAATTTTTATACACGAACACAGGGGCCCCACGTTGGGCGCCAATATAATACGACCCTTAGGGTCGTATTCTAGAACTCTACTCAATGCTCAAGTCAGGATTTGAGTATGGTTTAAAGCACTCGAAATCATACTCAAGTCCCTGCCATTAGGGTCGTATTTCCAGTGCAATCCTGACTTGTACATTGAGTAGAGTTCTAGAATACGACCCTAAATGTGTATTCTGGGGCCTTTGATCAAGGCTATAAATATAATAATAGCTCATTCATTGATATGACCAGCTTTTGGGTGAGGAGGCGCGCTATAATGTATTATAAAAAATTGATAAAGTTAAACAACAACAACAAAATATTATGTAGGTCTATTCCAAGGCGCATAATGGAATAGCGAATGGCTTGGATTGTATTCATGAAGTAAAGGCCTATGTTCAACATTCAACTGTTTATACAGTAAATATAGACATTTACACAGATCTGTGGGCCTACCATAACCTTTCCAAAAACAATCTTATTTCAATGTAAGCTTATTGTAATATTATTCATATTCGTACCATGACGAACCTGTCAACCAAGAAATGTATTATTGCAAAAGTGATTGAAAGAACGAATGATTCCCCAATATTGTCTATTCCTTACTAAAAATAGAAAAGAGATAATGATATGTAAACCATGTCTTTCTTTTTTGATGTTCCGAATCGTCTTATCGTAGTATAATGTTTAAGTACTTATTGTTATTTACATTCAGATAATTTTGACTGTTAAGAAAAGAAAAGTATGTAATAATAAAATCTATTCAAATTACGTTGTTTTCAATAATTATTCCGCATTTTCATGAAGAAAAATAAATAAAACAAGCTGAGTCTTGATAGTCACGTTGTGAGTTCAGAACTATAGTCTAGTGTCAACTGTTAGTTTCGCCAAGGAGTATATAGATGGCGCTGTTATAATTTTACGAAATAAACATCGCGTATTTTTATTTAACGAGAAATCATTTCGTATGTCCTATTAAGTAAAAAAATAAACGAAATATTGAAGAGACATATGTAAATAAATAAGTTGAACTTAACTTTTCATAATTACAAATCAATATTAAGACAACAGAACTGAAAATTATATGGTTTCCGTTGCATCCGTGTAACTATTTTAAGATTGCTAAATTTGACATAAGAGCAAAATTACTTTAATGTTAAAGTCGCATCATAGTACGAACTGAGTGAATGAATAGTCACAAAGCTGCCAATAAAACATCATAGTTTTAACATTACAATAAGCTTACTTTAAGCGTGTTATGGTACGAAAAGTAAAATGTAAGGTTAAAGTAATATTGTTTTAAGAGGTAGGCCCCCTGATCTGTGTGAAGTTTTTTTAGTAATAATACTTTTACCTAGAATATTTAAACCTCTCTCCTGAAAAGTTGCTATTTTGCCAATATGACCTCGTTTCATCAAGGGTGCGAAATTTGAAATTAAAAAAAGTTATTCAGATCAAAGCCTAAATTTTTAATTTTGATCAGCGTCCTGAGATAGTGACGTCAAGTGTCCTTGTTAAGTTTATGGAATGACACTCATCGCTTGGAGTACAGACCGGGCACTGGTGTGAATGGTCTGGGACGCCACGTGTGCTGACATACTCGCCGCATCCCATCTCCAGCACACCAACAAGAGGGCTGAGTCGGCATTTGAGCTGGCGGAAAGAATTAGGAGTAATAAGTACCAGGACCTCGGCTACGACTACCTGTTTACACCTTTTGGAATACGAACATGTGCTGTATATTTTAATCATCAATAATATTTCAGTGTCGCACCGATAATTGCATTGGCAAAGCCTTAGGATATCTAGACAAGACTGGACTTTTAAACAGGCAAAAATTGGTTCACTCTATGCGAAACATTAACATTTTGCCAGATATTAAAACATTCATAATTGCAAAGTGCATACGTACGAGACCTGACCAGTACGGGTGGAAAGGCCAATGCCTAGTTACAAAAATGCGATACTGTGCTCAGATTTTAACTCTTAAAGTACGTTAATTATTATACTATTATTTAATTTTATTATCATAGTAAAATAAGAGAAGTAAACGCTACAAAGTAACAGGGCGGCTTGTATTATGTGCGCGACCACGGAAGTAAAAAACAGTGCGAGTGCCTAAGGTCTTATTCAGAGTGGCGGCAGGCGCGGGTGCGTGTAAACCAAATGTATATAGACGCTCGTTGCGTTCACAGTGGCCGTGCGCGCGTATGTCTTGAGCCTGCTTACAGATATCCCGGCTCTGCGGGAGCAGAGGCTGGGTTATGTGGGACTGGGCTGAACCCTGACAGGGAGCAACCCGACCTCACCAAACCCTCGGGGTGTTCCTCCTCTCCGCTGCAGGTGGAGGCACGGGTGCGCAATCGCTCGTCCGCTCCTCCACCAGCGGCTGTCCGCGCCCAGCGCAGCCCCTACCCGAGAAGGGAGACACAATGGTCCCCCGACTCCAAATGTAAGGCTCGCCGAACACCAGACGAGTCTGCCATCTCGGGCCCCTCCATGCTGGGTAGCAAACTCCCCCGAGTCTGTTAACCAGGGTTCATGGGGCCAGGACAACATCCCCTTGACTGTAAAGTTCAGAGGATGCTCCCCCAGCCCCCGCGGCGGATCTATTGGTGGGCTCCGCCGCAACACCCTACGCGCATCCACGTGGACTCTCCGTAGAGAGTCTTTGGAGCGCCCACCGCACGGGCCAATCGCCCAAATTCGGCCGCGGAGGACAGGACGAGCGGCAACGACACACCGACATATCTCTTCCCCCGCATGCCTCCGTGCGGACCCGCTCGGCCTTAGATCAAGACGGTACGCCCTCCTCCTCGAGCCTGCCTAGCTCCATTGGCCGGCCCGTGAGTTCCTCTTAGCTTCACCGTGGGATTAAATCGACCACAGCTACTAGAGCCCCCCCGCCACGATAAGGCGGGAACCCATTCGAAGGGGGCGCGCCGGCGGCGGCGTCTGCCTCGAGGCGGGCGCAGGCGCCGGTGTGCGCCCGCCGCACGGGTAGATGTTGGCTCGGTCCGCACGTACCTTTCACAGTGCTTAGACTAGCATTCTAGCGTCTGTTTATGATTTCGTCGTATGGATCTACTCGCTCGCAGCCGCTTCGGCACAGTGAAAGGGAAGACGCTGCACCCGCGCCTGCACTCTGAATGAGCTCTTAAGCCTCGATTACTATCAGAACCGCTGTCGCCAAAACGCACACAAACAATTGATAAACATTACAAAATCTTGATAATAATTGGTCGTAGTTTCTAATTCAAAAAGATGTAACAAATTCTGGATTGTTAACATAATCTTAACTTTACCCATTCGCTAATATCGTTGAAAGTTTACAATTATCTTTAATGCAAGTTACGACATTTTGATTTTATATAGAAATTTTATTCAACGTGTTGCCATCTTGCGGCCAAAAGCTGGACTACGACTGAAGATTAACATCTGAATCAATTTGATAAACAGAAAATTGAAAATTTATTAAAATAAGACTTACCAATGATATGTAATACCACCACGGGTAATATTTTTGGTGCGGCTATCGTTTTTACACTCCAAATCAGCAAAATAAGGCGATTTCTACGATTTCCGACAACTTACGCGGAAGAATTGACACAACCGTACTGTATATAGCGAAAATGGCGGATTGAGCTCAAGTAGGCACAACTATGCCTACAGTTGGCACGCGTGCGATGCTAACTAACCACTTCTACTGTATTTATTGTTCTGTGGAGACGACCGTATTATGCAACGCGAGTGCATCACGAGATTTTGCGCCGTCCGTATACGGCACGCGGCGTACAAGCCGCGCTGCTACGTTTATATGCATTCATCATACTTGTCTTAATAAAGCTATTAAGATTTGATTTGTCTGTGCAGCTCGATAGTTTAGCCGCTGCTCTTCTCTCATGTCGCATTAATAACTTATTGGAAACAAAAAAGAAAAGCGATCGCGCTGTAACTCGAGCCGTTCGAAATATCCAATGTCACATCATTATCATCGACAATCCTTTATTTAACCCACATTATTTTTTTTTATTCTATTTCAAAAAAGTTTTATTAAAATATACTCTTCTTTATGGCTAAGCAAAAACTTAGTGGTTTAACCACTTAGCAATGAGTTAACTGACTCGATACTTAAATAACTTACTACCTACAGTCTATGTCTCTTGAAGATGGAGTAAAAAGACATTTCACAGCGCAAATGTGTTACCCGTTTTCAGCAGCTTGTGATTGCAATCAACTGAATGTTCACGCTTACATATGTAATAAATAGCCACATTTGCTTCATTTGAATCATCATACCCATTATTCGTCCAACTGCTGGGCACAGGTTCATTTGAATTGTCAAATTCAAATGTTCATTTATTCCATAGGTAAAAATTGTATTTTTTTTACTCGTTCACTGTGCCGACTTCCCCGAAAAGAACGAGCAAGAAACTCTAGGGATTGCTCTTTTCAAATAAACTTAAATGCTATAGAATATATTTTGAATCATATTTGTGTGGAATCTAGACTCATGTTGTCTCTCCATACATCTTTATCTAATACGTAGTCTACAAATTTGTAATATGACTTTTCAATTAAAATGCTTTTAATGTAATTTTAAACTTTGGCAATGGTAATCTTAATATAATGCTCCGGAATCTTATTGTAAAATCGTGTACAGTTCTCCATAAAAGAATAGTTTACCTTATTTCACTTAGAATAACGCTTATTAAAAATAAAAACAGGAAACATATTTAAAAGTTTTTCATGTTAATTCTACAAACATAAATAATCAAATCCGCCAGTTCTTATTAAAATGTATATGTATAAATAAAAATTGATTTCAATGCAAGTAAACCAACTGTGAAATGAAGAATAAAGTAGGTATTGCGTATACGCAATTAACAATAATTAGAACGTCGTTGTAACATTCACAATTCAGATATTTTTGGCAAAATTTTACTTCTTTCACAATCTATCGATAAAACTATCGACAACATGATATCATGCCTGATAGCATGTGATGGCAGCGGTACATAAATCTTTTAATGGTGGTATTCGCGGTTTTGTGTTTAATTTTGTATTGTTTTACTTGTGAATAAAATAAAATAAATAACAAATACAATTGATTATTTTAAATTGTATGGCAACTGACCACCCCGCACATATCATTTTACTCCGTCTTCAAGAAGCACAGACTACTAAATTAACTAGTTCTAGGGTTTACATTGAAATGAGTAGTATAGATTTTGTTTTAATAATATCAAGTGACGAGACGAACAAGTCATGGTAAGAGACACGCCTATTCGTAACAGTTGCAGTGCCACTTAGAGCTTTAAATTGCAAAGATTAAACACAAACTAGACTGATTCCTGTGACACTCCATTTGACGTTTGTTATAGGGATGAAGTAAAGTCGATAGATTGTTTAGTGTATTTGATTTTTGAAATGTAAGTTCTCTCTTTTAGTTTTATTTTTCTGAAGTATTCTGAACGACGTATAGTGTTTTGTATTAAGAATCTTAAAGCATAAAACGCACAACTTTAATTCAAAATGTATTTCAACAAATATTAGAAAACTTCAAAAAATATTTATCTGTCACCTATTTATAGGTTTCAAAAATGTAATAACACTGACATGTTAATTCATTGTCTATGATTAAATTTATACTTTATGAATGAATAAATTATTTTTTACAACGTGCAAAGGTTACTTCTTTACATTATATATGCTAGGGATGAGGTATATCGGTAAAATGTTTTCGATAATTTAATAAATAAATGAATAGTGCGGATTCATTTATTAACCGACTTCAAAAAAAGAAGGAGGTTCTCAATTCGACTATATGTTTTTTTTGTTATCATCTTTATAGTTATCGCGTAACATATGTATGTTACGCGATAACTCCGGTATTTGTGAACCGATTTTCATGATTCTTTTTTTGTTTGAAAGACGGTACCTTCATAGTCCTATTTCATTTTGAAGAAAATCATCCACCTCTAAGGGTACGCATAAACATTCATTTTTATAAATGGCGCCTAAATTTTACTTAAGGAGTATTATTAAAATAGTTGGTTTTGCTATTTTCCGATTCAGGGCGTTTTTTTCTCTCAATATACTTTGAGTAGTGAGAACCGATTTTTATTATCTCCTGTATCAAGTCCTGTATAGTGGCGCACTAGAGGATATTTCAAAAAACTTGGTAAACAAATGTAATTCCACGTACTTTTGAGGTCGGTTTTTTTAGTACTCTGTACTGAGATTATTCATTAAATTATCGAAAACTTTTTATCGATATACCGCATCCCTAGTGTAACCACTGCATTTGCATTGTATGATTTTTTTACGATAACAAAAAAGAAAGGTTATTAAACCTTTGCACGTTGTCGTAAAAAATTCATGAATTAAAAAAAATGGTTTCCCGCTCATTTACATAAATAAACACTGATTTGGTGTTCTTTTTTTAAAGTATTTATTTGAACAAATTTAATTTGTTCATCTAAAAGTGAGTCTTATACAAATAGTTTATGAAATACGTACAGGCCTGTACGTATTTTTTTCTGGGTACTGGGTCAAAAGTACGTCAAGCTTGACACTAAAGCTTTAAATTTAACTCTATGCCGCTTGCAATAATAACGGTCTAAAGTCCAAAGTTTCAAGCTTGACTGTACATTAGAGCATATTATTATAAAGTTGTATTGTGTATAATTTTATGAACTGTCACAGGAATCACCCTAGATTATTTTAGATTGTATAATCAGCATTTTACTGCCAGCCGCACGACTTGTACGTCCCGTCGCTTAAAAAAGTTCATTAAAAATTAAGTAATATAGTATATTTGTTGTTTACAGCACTGCATACATCGTTCTACAATAACACTTCCTTCTTGTATTGGAGTAAAAAGAAAGGCTGAACAATGTGACCAAATGTAATCTGAGGTCGGGGCAGTAATGAATAAAAAAAAAGAAAAAAATACTAGTACAAAAACAGCACCGGCTTAATTAACAAATTATTTGATGAAACACTTTGAAAATAGAGTGCTATGTCTCAGAAGTTCATTTTTGCAATAGTTTTACTAAAAAAAATTAATTGTCAGTTGCTGTGTCATTGGTTTTTAAACTAATAAAGGCGGTATTTATAACTAACATATTTATTGCTATGCTATGCAGAAAACCTGTATTATATTTCTTTGGCCCAGTAAGCAGCCACCTGTACGGCCCTATCTGTTGCTTCTGCAGCTGGTCGGACACTGTGGTCATGAGAGCAAGTGAGACTCACTTTGTATGGGGAATGCGCAAGCATAATAGTTTTGCATCGTATTGATATATCCCCATTTCATCATGTAGCTCTAACATCGGCACACTTATGATCTGAGGCGATTCAGAGATTTCGTTATTGACCACTGCAACTCGTGCCCAAGGAAGACTTTTGGCTGGGGTAATACAATAGGAAGAAGAAGAAAGAAAGACACGTTATACAGCTCAAAAAAACTTAAGCAAAACAGACAAATCAAATTAATGATTACATATATCTAAAGCTGAAACGGATCCAACTCAGCATAATGTTACAGCTCGCCTGCTGTAACGCTGGATTTCTGTTGGAACCGCTTTTACAAGATGAGATAGCACGTAAGTAATAGTGTGGTAAACACTAAAATTATAAAATGTAACTTAAATATGAACTAAAAACAAGTTGTAAATTTACTAATAGGTACTATTACATGACTTGAATGTATATCAAATACTACACTTGTCAGGGATTATTACATGAATTGAATGTATATGAAATACTGCACTTCATCATCATCATATCAGCTGGATGACGCCCACTGTTGAACACAGGCCTCCCCCAAAGATTTCCAGACCAGCCAATCGGACGCGACGTGCATCCAGTGGTTACCCGCCGACACTAAATAATCAAGAGAAGCAGAGACTTTGGCTTGCCAGAATTTGCACCTCGCGTTCGTCTGTAGCGGTGGTATGTCGAAGGAAGCTCTCACGGCTTGATAGTTGTTCAGGTGGGAGCTTGTGGCCGAATAAAAGGTGCCGACTATCATAAAATAGCATTTTCTATTATTTGTTAGTAAACAAACGGTTTCTGGTAAATGTCCAAATGACCCAGACAACCATGGATCCAGGGTTTACACCACAAAAGGCACAAAGTTATAAAAATTACATAGTTTGTACCATTTAGCATGTTAAGTGGTCATTGACATGATTTTCATGGCGAAGACACAATTTGATGGCAACCGATAACCGATCTCTACAAATCATAATTTTGTCATCGCTTGAGTAACATAATGAAAGCCAACGATGAGAAATGAAATAGTAAATCAATGTCGATTAAGTATTATAAATGTTATTAAATTAGGATCGATTATTTTGATTTTTAGTAAGTAATTACTAAATTAGTAACTACTCTCATCAAAAGTGTCTAGTTAAGTCTAGTCAAGAACGTTTTTGCTTATTTTTAAACTCAGGTTTTTTTTAACACCAATGGGTTTTTTTGGCCAATTTCATTTTCAAATTCAAATTTTAAAATTGACCAGGAAAAATACATCGGCATTTAAAAAATTAATAAGCTTATAAAAACAATAGATCCCGTGAAACAGTTGGTAACGAGTTTCAAGATTTTGTGTGTCAGGAACAAAAATAACAATAATAAATTATTTAGAAATAATTTAAATTAACATTATTTAGAAATAACTTTTGCATTAGCGTAGGCGCATGTGTTGGTTTGTTTTTTGTTCGGACTCTCCCTAATGGAATGGAAAATGCAAATTTTAACCTAAAAATGATTGGACGTTTGATAAGACACGACATCTTCTTTAAGACCATTTTGGAGGGACAGGTCGAGGGGAAGAGGTCAACCTAGGTGCAGTAACATATACCAAATAAAGGAAAAGGTCGGTGTCGTATCATATAAGGAGATCAAGGAGCTGGCTTATAAAAAATTGATTGGAAGATGCTCCAGCGATAAGAGTATAACTGATAAGCTTAAAAAAAATCCTTCCAAGATGGACTCGTCAGTAGATATTGGATTACGGCATCCATCGTCTCATTTCTTAAAATTATTTCGTCACTTGCGTGTAGCACATGTCATGTTCTGCTACATAAAAGCCTCACTCATAGATGGCCACAACGACCGGCCCTGCACTGCGCGCATCCAGGTCCTCAGTTGTGTGTGGTCTGCCCATACTACGATTTTCGGTACGCGGTCACCGCAATAGAACATACCGGCGCAATCGGGGAGGTATTACGAACAATACATTCTAAATATGTACTGCTAATTGTATCTTCTGTTGCTAAAAGTGAAAACCAATATGTTTTCTTTTGTTGATGTTACAGACTGTCATAAAGCAGTTGATTTTCCATAAGTAAATATTAATACTTATTGCAACACAGAGTTTACTCATTGTATGTCAATGAAGATTTTATTGCGGATATCATGTTTATTTTTTAATGAAGGTACGAGTTTAAAATAGAAGTATAAAATAAATTGCTCTTTTTTTATTAAGGTTATCCCTAGAGAAATCTACGCTTCAGCTTTGATCTCGTTTATTTTATAACAAAGGTAAAGAAGGATGGCGACATCCCGTGTATTTTGTGACCCAGTGTTTTTGACGACGTGCATTATAGATACCTATCAATACTTGTGATTCATTATCATAGTATCAAAAAAGCTAATTGAGTACAGCCCGTAGAAGCTGGAGTTATACAGTTGATACAGGTAATGTTTATAACATGCTCCTGATATATATTTCTAAACATAATAAAGAACTTCTTGAATATTCCGAAATCTGCCAAACTTTGCCACATTGAATAAAACGTTAACATGTTCTGCCGCAATGAAAATGTATAAAAATTAAATGCCAAAATGGCAGAAATCTGCCACAAATCGTCACACTGTAATCTCAATGTGACATTGACATTGGCAAGAGGCCTGTAGTCAAAATGTTCCTTTGCTAACTTTCTTATTTCTCATTTAAATATTGTCTAAACATTTTTGTCACATTGTGTTTTATTTTTTACTTTATGTCATTACTGTTCAATTGGTTACTTGTTTTTATAGCTTTAATGTTTTATTTGTGTACTATAAAACAACCAATACTTTAGGTGGGTAAACAATCACTCATGCTTAAAATTACTTTTGTTACTTTGTCTATGGTCGAAATTAATCAATTGAATTGTGTTCTTGCATTTGTTCTAAACTACATTATTCTACGATTTCTTTATTCCAGACTTCTTAAAAAACAAAAAAATTGTATGGATATCTAGGCATAATTAAAACGTAAAAATATTTTAGCAAAGTCTCTCTCTCTCTTCGTTATTTTTATAATCATTGGGTCAGCTTTCTCCATCCTTCTATAGCTTTGTATTTTCTTCTGTTATTGACGTTTTGAAAAACGCGACAATGTAATTGGTAACTTAGAATAATAACGCATAGAATAATAATTTCATATCAAATGAACTGTCACAAGTGAGTCACAAATCAAATTCATGTAGGCTAGTTTTAGTAGTAGGTTAATTTTCGGTTTTAGTGAATATTTATATAAAAATACAAGTTGAAACGCGTTACTTCCTTGTGGAATGTGATGTTAATATCTATTTTATGTTTGTCTGACGTATTTTTACTCATTTACCGCACATTTCGTCATTTTTAGCTAAAATTCTTGAGCTGTTCGCGGTGCAAGTTGACCTTGAGCACTAAAGGCCCGCCCGCTCGTGTAGGCCCATTGGGCGCGCTTCAATTTGCCTCACTTAGCGTGTGCGGACTAGGTTTCTATGCGTTATTATTGTAAGATTGGAAATTGTAATTTTCTTGAAACCCAGAATAACCTGTGATTTATCATGTAACAGGATTTTTGCTTCTGGGTTATCAATTTATCATTTTCTAATTGGTTCTAACACAAAAACATGAAACTACTTTATTTCACTTAAAAAATCTTTGCTTTTCTGGTCAAGACAACGAAAAGTTATAATTTACCGTACAAATTGTCGGGTATCCGTTTATTTAAAACAAAAAGGGAACGTTATATTTCAAGTCTTTAATACATTTGAACAAAAGTTCTACAATTGATGATCGAGGACTTAGAAATATGTACCATTATGTAGCTATGTAAATAGGCAGCTATGTAAATACCATCACAAAAGAAGGGTATAGCTAATGTTTCTTACATTAGAAATAAAATAGAAATACGGCCCTATCAACGCCCTAATTTGGAATTTTGCAGTAGAACAATGTTCGTATTAACATCCAAATTATTTAATAAAATACCGGACGCTGTTAAAGGAATTAAATCGTACTTCAGTATTGATAATTATTAAGTTGATAATATTATATGTGAAATTTAACTATTTTACACATTGACTTACAAATAAATGGACGACGGGTCTAATACAAAAACCACGAAAAAATGTCCCAAGTCAACCTATTTAAACGTAGTGACATGTAAGGGAATATGAAAAAGCTAAAACGTTGAATTTAAATTGTAATGTCATCGCAGTACTGTCTAATTTTGCTTGCTTCGCTGTCAGTCGAACAAACGAAGACTAAAGCGTGAATGACGCTCTGTATACGATTTTAACGTTCTATAAGTTCGGACACTTTTTAGCGCGGACCCGACGTCCATATAATTGTAAGTCAATGATTTTATGTTATAATTTTGACTACCTATTTTCTGGTTAAATTCCAATTGTTATTGTTTGTTTATGCTATTGTATTAATTTTAACTCATGCTACATCAAAAGTTAAATAAGCATTGTGTTAAATATTCGCATGCCAATCATTACTGAAAGTTACGATCTAACACAATATACTATAATACCAGCATGCATAACTACTTTTTTCAGCGAATAAATATCATGTATTCTACATATTTGCTGCTAAATTAAACAGAGTTTTTGAACATTTGTTACTTAGTGATTAGCCA